AGTGGCCAGGAGTGTGCCACTGCACTCCAGTCTGGGCGACAGAGTGAGACTTCAACTCAATAAATAAATAAATAAATAAAAATTGAAAAAGTAGGCACCAATATAACTGTGATCAAAAGTAAAACTAAAAAAGAAGAAAATGGAGACTAAACAAATGGGACAGGGGGCAGGGGGCATGTCACTCCACAGGTAGCCACAGGAAAGATTCAGTATGAGAGGGAGGGGTTGATGGGCACCAATACCTGAGTCAGGGGAAGGGGTGGCCCTGGGTCCTGCCCTCTGCCCTGCTGGGCTCTGTGGAGGGAGACTGCAGGCCCAGCAGGCCCCAGGAGAGCCCGGTCCTGATGCTGTGCCCCTGCAGGCCATCACCGGCCACCTGCACCTCAAATGCAAATGCCACGGGCTGTCGGGCAGCTGCGAGGTGAAGACATGCTGGTGGTCACAGCCCGACTTCCGCGCAGTGGGCGACTTCCTCAAGGACAAGTATGACAGCGCATCAGAGATGGTGGTGGAGAAGCACCGCGAGGCGCGTGGCTGGGTGGAGACGCTGCGTCCACGCTATGCCTACTTCAAGGCGCCCACAGAACGCGACCTGGTCTACTACGAGGCCTCGCCCAACTTCTGCGAGCCCAACCCAGAGACAGGCTCCTTCGGCACACGCGACCGCATCTGCAACGTCAGCTCACACGGCATCGACGGATGCGACCTGCTGTGCTGCGGCCGTGGTCACAACACCCGCGCTGAGCGGCGCCGGGAAAAGTGTCGCTGTGTGTTCCACTGGTGCTGCTACGTGAGCTGCCAGGAGTGCACACGCGTCTACGATGTGCACACCTGCAAGTAGGCGCGTGCCTGGACAGGCAGGGTCCCCTTGGACGGGTGGGGTCTCAGGTGGATGAGGCAGGCTCCTCCTGGACAGGACAGGGCCTACCTGGCTAGGGGCAGGGTCCTCCTTGATGGGGCAGGATCCTTCTGGACAGGGCAAGCTCCTCCTGGACAGGGTGGAGTCCACCTGGGCAGGCGGGGGACACCTGGACAGGCCGTGTCCCACCTGGATGGGGCAGGATCCTCCTGGACGGGTGGGGTCCACCTGGACAGGTGGGGTTTCACCTGGATGTGGCAGGGACTCACTGGATGGGAGGGGTCCCACCTGGATGGGGCGGGGCCCTTCTGGACCGGTGAGGTCTACCTAAATGGGGCAAGGTTTCACCTGGACGCGTGAGCTCCCACCTGCTGGGCGGCACGGCTTTTCCATGGAAGGAGTGAGGTCCTGGAGAGGGCAGAGCTCCTATCTGGGGGTGCGGCTCCTGTCTGAGAGGTTGAGCTTCTCCCAAAGGAGCAGGGAACCTCCCAGACGAGGCTCTGGATGGGCAGGGCTGTGTGTGGGTGCCTTCCTGGGGGTGGGGCTTTAGTGGGAGAGGGGCTCCAGAGACTCCAATGGGTGCAGGGCTTTTCCGGAGCAGGCTCCAATAAGGATGAAGCTCCAGGGTGGGCGGGGCTCCTCTCTGGGGCGGGGTTCTAGCAGGGGCGAAGCGTCTGTCTGAGGCGGAGTTCCAGTGGGGGCGGGGCTTCTCTCTAGTATGGATCTCCAGGCTGGGGCAGAACTCTGGGGGATGGGACTCTTTTCTGGGGTCTGCCCTCCTGAGTGGTGCATGGCTCCAGATCAGGGGTTCAGCTTGCCATGCCCTCCCAGCCCCCTGTGAGGTTCCATCCGCCTCCCACTGTGTAGAGCCAGGGAGAACCCCTGGGGTCACTTCGGGGGAGGGACCCCAATCCCTTCCCCCCCGTGCCTCTGGGATCCCGGAGGCCCTCTCCAAGCACCTCGCTCTGGAATGACACAGGCAAGAAAGCTTGTGCCACCCATCAGCCTGGGGTGAGCCCACCCTCCTGACCAGGTAACCCTATGGAGGAAAGCCTGCAGTCCCCCAGTCCTCCAGCCCCAGCCCCAAGAACCAGTTCTGAGAGAATGAGAAGGGGCTTCACAGAGGCCTACTTCTACGTTCTCCTACTGGGACCCACCTTTGCCCGCCACCCCCACCCCACCCCACCCCATTCACTTCCCAGGAAACTTCAACCAGCCTCTGTTCCACCACCCTGGCTCTCACCAGCCAGCTTAGCTGGCCCTTCCTCCAGGTCTTCTCCCCATCTGCACCCTGTCCCCATCACAGGAAAGCAGAGTGGGAAGCCTCCCAGTCTCCCTCCATCCGCAGCCCTTGTAAGGGAAAAGGCAGGAAGAGGGATCCACCTCCAAGGCTGTCCAGAGCTTCTGGCCTCATTTTGGGGTTGTTAGGGAGGTTTGGGAACATCAGTCCACCACATGCTGCAGAGGTCCTGGGTGCTGGTCTCCTTCCTGGCCCCTTGTGGCCAGGGTTGAGCCCCTCTTCCCCCCACCTCCCACTGCCACCGGTCACTGCCCTGGAGTCTTTGGCTCTGTGCCCCTGCCCTCCTGACCTATCTTCCCAGCCAGGAATGAAGAGAGGCCCTGAGCCCTGCGAGAACTCCAGCCACCCACCACAGTGCTCCTTGGTCTCTGCCACTGTGAACCATCTACCTTGAAGGCAGGAAGAGACATGGCTGTGCAAGTGCCCTGAGACCCCAGAAGAGGGGACGTTGCTATCCTCTGCCTCGAATTCTGCATTGTTGGTTTTAATGTTATTTTCGATGCTGCTATATCTACCGTACACTGGAGCTAGATGAACAGATGTGTTTTTTTTCCTTTTCTTTCTATGAAAGAAATTATTTTAGTCATAGCTTGTGAGTTTCAAACAATGGGAAAGTAAAAGAAGAAACAAGTGTGCAAGCCTGTGGTCTCTGCTGGACTTTTGGTGGTGGGTAGGGAGGGGTAGGGATGTGTGGATGTCCACTGGGGCTGGCCCGGAGTAGGAGACCATGCCAGGGCAGCAGCCAGAGACACCTCCAGGGAAGGAGCAGTGTTGGCCAGGCCAAGCATAAGAGGAAACATCACTGAGGCATGGCCTCTGATGAGAGCAAAGACCGGATGTGGATGGCATTCCACAGGGAGGGGACAGGTCCATGGGGGCACAGCAGCTCAGGCTGGAGGAGAGACTACAGAGACTACTGACTAACCTCCCCAGCACCTACAGTAGGCACTGTAGGGTGGACCACAGGACAAGGCACCCCAGGCCTCAACACCCTCTCTGGGCAAGTTAGAGTACTCACTCTCAGCCCTTGTGGCAGGGCCAACATGAGGAGTTCCCCGTGCCCTTGGAGCACAAATAGCAGGCAGTACTTTTGGCCCCAAGTATCTCCATTCACTACACTGGGCCTTTTGGGCATAACATGACTGTGCAGCTCCAGATGCCACAGCATCCTACAGGGTGCAGGAAGTCACAGCACCTTCTGCCAAGGGACAGCCATGACCTGCTGGGCACAGGGTGTGGATGGGGCAGGGTAGGGGCCCTTTGTAGGCATGGCCCCCTCTGCCTAGCTCCTGGTACCCAGCAGTCATATAGACCCTCACAAAGTAAATGTCCCCTACCCCAGGATGGTCAAGGAGACAAGGCTGGCACGCACCTGTGGTCCCAGACACTCAGGAGGCTGAGGTGGAAACTTCACTTGAGCCCAGGAGGTCTAGGCTACTGTGAGCTAGAGTCACACTACTGCCCTCCAGCTAAGGTGACAGAGCAAGACCCTACTCTAAAAAATAACTAAAGTTATAAAAAAGAAACAAGGCCTGGGAGGGAATGAGGTAGATGCAGAAGCCTGGTGGTAGTCCCAGGGAATGCGTGCTTCACAGAGCTCTAGCCACCGAGGGACCTGGACCAGGGCCTGTTAGATCCCAGGCAAGAAGGAAACGGACTCAGGGCTCTGGACTTCCAGTGCCCCTCCCCTTCACCTTCCTGCACCCCCAAGGCCTGTGGGCATCTCAGTGTCACACCCAGCCCAGAGCCTAGTTGGCTTGGGGCCTTGGGGCCAGCTGCACCCCAGAGCCCACCTGCAGCTCCAGGCCCTGACCCACCACAGGCAGGGCTGCCCTGGTAGGTCCTCAGGACCACAGAAGAATTCCCACGTGGGACTGAGCCAGGTTGCCATCTGTAATACGAGAGCCAGTGACTCAGGGCATGGGGCTGGACCAGGGCCAAGAATAGATGCCCATCCTCCCACTGGGGTGTATCACCAGTAGATGACCCTGAACCTGCTTTATGCCAGGCCATCTGAACAACAGCCATAAGGGGTCAGTCCCTGGGGGAGGAATGGGTGCCCACAAGAGCCTCTGCCAGCCCCATCCCATGGGCAGTGCCTAAGTCAGGGCCCCAGGCAAAGGCCACCCTAAATTGGTACCTGCTGGGGCCCCGGTTCCAGGGACCTCACAGATGAAAGGTGCCACCTGATGGGGAGGCGGCTGGGTGGGGGCATGGGCCTGGTCACTGGGCTGTGGGGACCTGAGAAGTTGGAGAGTTGGCAGGGCCAGGCTTGGGGGAACAAAGCCCACATGCCCAGATGCTGGCTGGGCGCCTTAGGGGGTCGGTACAAAGACAAGGCCACCTGCCCAGCACAAAGGAGTGGCAGGACTGAGAAGGCTCAGCATCCTAACTCTGGCTCTGTCCCTGCTGCTGGGGCCCTAAGGACTGATAGCATGTAAGGACCCATGAAGTTCTGGGGTCCTGGTGCTGGCCCTGAGCTCCCCCTCAGGTCTAAGGTAAGGGACCCCTGAGCTTCCCCTCAGGCCCATGTGAGGGACCACTGTGAAGAGGGTCTCGGCAGCCCCACCCCAGTGCATGGCCGCCAGAATTGTCAGAGGGCAGACCCACAAGAAGAGAGCTGTCATGTCTTTGAGAAATGGGAATGTCACAGCCTGCAGGGGCCTGAGGACAAACCCAACTTGTAGGTGAGAGGTTGGGTGGGAGGTGAAACCCTCAACTCACAGCTGGTCTGGAGCAGGATCTACCCTCTGGGCCTCAGTTTCTCTGCTATGCTTGAGGCAGTGGGACAGGGGTCTTTCCCAGGGGCTGGCTGACTATGCTGCTTCATCTGGTGCCCCTTGGGACCCAGCCTGGCTCTTCACCTGCCCAGGGTCAGTCTCCCAGACCCCCCCAAAGCCCTCAGAAACACTTCCCCAGGGAGTTTACAGCCCTCCGCCCAGGGAGGAAATGGGCCCGAGGGCCTGTTCACAGGTAGTTGAGACAGGACAGGAATAACCATATAAAAGGCCTGGAGGCCTTGGCCCACCTACCCATCTCCCGCAGGCTATCTCACCCTCAGGCTTTGAAGTCCTGGAGGGGGTGTGACTGCCTCCTCACTCCCCTCCCCCCTCCCTCCCTCTTCCTACACCCCTCCTGGACTCCCTCTTGCTGGGTCCTAGGGCCTCAGTTTCCTTCTTCCTGGCCTCGGGATGCCTGCAGCACTTCCTGCTGGAATTAATATCCCCATGCCCAACATGGGTGGGTGCCAGGAGCCAGCCTTGCTCACTGACCATACCCTGCCCTGCCCCTGGCAGCCGGGTCCAGACCAGGTATACCCTGAGGCCCTCTAGACCTGGTCTTTCCCCAGCCCCAGAGTGCTATCACCACCAGGTCAGCTGGGGGACCTCGTGGGGTGGGCTGAATTGGGAGAAGAGGCTAGTCAGTGGAGCAAATGGCCTCTTTCCCACCCAGTGGGACACCCCACCCAGTGTGGGTCTGGTCCAGCCATCCACCTGGAGGGCCAAGCATGAGAGAGAAGTGGAACCCCTGACCCAGCTCTGGGCCCATCAGCTCCCAGGACCTGAAAACTGACCAGACTAGACTGGGTCAGATACAACCCCCCCTACACCTGCCCGAGGCGGGGGTAGGCTGCTACAGCCTCAGGGAACCCTGGGAGATAGGAGGAATGCCAGGAAGAATC